TTTGAATGCTGTGGATAAATTCATTTACCTTGGTAGTATACTTTCCAGGGATGTATACATTGATAAAGAGGTTGATGCACACACTGCCAGATTTAGCTCAGTGTTTGGGAGGCTCCGAAGTAAAGTGTGGGACAGAAGAGGTATTAGACTGACTACCAAACTGAAAGTCTATAGAGCCATTGTGCTGATCTCATTGTTGTATGCCTGTAAAAATTGGACAGTATACTAGTGCCATGCCAGGAAACTGAATCACTTCCATTTGAATAGTCTTAGGAAGATTCTATAGATCACCTGGCAGGATTAGATACCAGACACTGAGGTCCTTTCTCTAACTAAACTGCCAAGCATTCAAACTCTACTTCAGAGAGCACAACTCTAATGGGCTGGTTATGTTGTTTGAATGCAAAATGTATGCTTGCCCAAAAGATTATTTTATGGATAACTCACGCAGAGCAAGTGTTCACGTGGTGGTCAGAAGAAGTAATACAAGGACATTTTCAAGGTCTCTCTTAAAAACTTTGGAATTGATTGTGTGACATAGGAGATACTGGCACCGGACTGCTCAGCATGGTATGCCCACATCAGAAAAGATGCTGTGCTCTATGAGCAAAGCAGAATTGAAGTAGCTCAAAAGAAATGCAAGATGCACAAATTTAGAGAATCCACTCCAAATGTTCACATAGACTATTTGTGTCTGACCTATGGTAGAACATTCCAAGCTCCTATTGGTCTGATCAGCCACAGTCGGACACACTGTAACTTGACTCTAGCACAGTGATATCATTTTGGACCTCTTTGAGAATGAAGGACAACAGCCAACCAACCAGCCTGCTAACTGTGGATGTCCTCCAAGGCTATGTCCTGGGCCCTCTTCTCTTCTCTCTGTAATGTCTCATTTGGTGATCTCATCAGATCACACACATTTCTTTGCAGATGATTCTCAGCTATATTTATCCAATCCTAACCTCTCTCCTCATCTCCAGTCTTGCATTTCCAACTGCCTACTGTACATCTCAAATTGGGTGTCCTGTAGACATTTTAATTTCATCATGTCCAAAACTGAACTCATCTTTCCCCCTGAACTCTCTCCTCTTTCTAACTTTCCTATTATTGTGAAGGGCACCATCATTCTCCCAGTCAAGCAGGTTCACAACCTATGTATCATTCTTAACACCTCAGTCACACTCAACTCCCCCACATTTAATCATTTGCCAATCCTGTAGAAACATCTTTCAGATATATACCTTTCTCTCCTTTGACACTGTCACTCTCCTAGTGCAGGCCTTCATTCTTTCACATTTGGATTATTACAATAGCCTACTGGTTGGTCTCCCTACTTTGTCTTTCTGTACTCCAGTCTATCCTCCACTCAGCTATCAAAGTGATCTTCCTAAAGCATAACTCTATATCATAACCCTTTCCTCACCGCTACCATCCTCAGTAAAGTCCAGTGTCTCCCTATTACCCCAAAGATCAAATATATAATTTTCTATTTGTCTCTTAAAAGACCTTCATAACTTGGCCCTTTTCTACCTTTTCAGATTTCTTATACCTTATTCCCCTCCATATACTTTACAACGACATTGGCCTCTTTGCTCTTCCTCCCACAAGATACATCTCCCTATTCCATGTATTTTTAATGACTGTCCTCTATGCCTGGAATTCTCTCCCTCCTTATCTCTGCCTCATAATTTCCTTTAAATGTCAACTAGAATTTCACCTTCTGAAAAAAGTCTTTACTAGTTCCCCTTAATGCTAATGCTTTCCCTTTGAAATTATCTATAATTTATCTTGTATATAGCTTGTTTGTACATAATTGTTTTCATGTTGTCCCCCCCCCATTAGATTGTGAGCTCCTTGAGGGCAGGGACTGGAACAGTATCTGACATACAGTAGGTACTTTTAAAAATGCTTGTTGACCACTTGACTTGATGGCATATTTTGGATGTTGACAGCTGGAGTAAATTTTAGGTATATCATTTTGATAGGTTATATATTTTTATAGAACAAAATGTGATATAATTCATTGTTTTTTCTTTGTTTAGCTTTTGTCAAAACTTTAATATGCCAACAAAACGCAAAGTAACAAAATGTTGCTGGGACTCTATTAGAAACCCTTTCCAGCTCAGGAGGAACCTTATAGAGTTTATGCTTCACTGACATAGACTTCTGACAACCAGAGAAATCTCCATGTAATGATAAAGCATTAGAATAGGAAGTTTAGATTTTAAAGTGCATAAGAGATAACTTTTCATCTTTTAAACATTTTAATATTTGTATTTTTTCAGAATCAAATGTGGATTTTACTTGTACAGAAAATGCTGTGTAAAAGAAATTATTTCATTCTTTGACAGAAATATGGCACTTCTGAACTGACCTTCAAATTATTCAATGGATAAGCTATCTCAATTTGGACCCAACCTACAGTGCAATCTTGGCAGAAATAGACTTCAGGTAGCAAGCTTGCTCAACCCTGCTACATTCAAGTAATGTTTTGTTTGAGCTCTAGGGAGTAGACTTTAAAGACCTAGTGCTGCTGTCAGTCAGTCAGTCAGTCAACTAGCAAATAAGTGCTTCCTATGTTCCAGGCACAGTGCTAAGTGTTGATAATACAAAGGCAAAAACACCATCCCTACCCTCAAAGGGCTCACATTCTTTCCCCCCACCCAATTTTTAAAACATTTTTATTTAAAGTTTTGAGTTCCAAATTTTATCCCTCCCTCCTCCCCTCTCCCTTCCCTAAGACAGTAAGCAATCAGATATAGGTTATACATGTGCGATTTTGTAAAACATTTCCATATTAGTCATTTTGTACAAGAAGACTCAAATAAAAGGAAAAAATGAAAGAAAGTGAAAAATAGCATGCTTCAGTCTGTATTCAATCAATAGCAGTTCTTTCTCTGGAGGCGGATAGTACATTTCATCATTAGTCCTTTGGGATTGTCTTGGATCATTGTATTGCTGAGAAGAGCTAAGTCATTCATAGTTCTTCATTGAACAATATTGCTGCTACTGTGTACAGCATTCTCCTAGTTCTGTTTACTTCATTATGCATCAGTTCATGTAAGTCTTTCCTGAAATCATCCTGCTTGTCATTTCTTATAGCACAATAATATTCCATTACATTCATATACCACAGCTTGTTTAGCCATTCCCCAGTTGATGGGCATTCCTTTGATTTCCAATTCTCAGCCACCACAAAAAGAGCTGCTTTAAATATTTTTGTACAAATATGTCCTTTTCCCTTTTTTGGCTATCTTTGGGATATAGACCTAGCAATGGTATTGATGGATCAAAGAGTATGCACAATTTCATAGCCCTTTGGGCATAGCTCCAAATTGCTCACCAGAATGGATGGATCAATTCACAACTAATTTAATAGTGCATTAGTGAAAGAGCTCACATTCTAACTGGATTTAAGACAATCCTTCTTAATCTTTGCCAGTGTGTGGCTTTGTGCCTTTTTCATTAGAGGAAGGAGTCACATTCCTTCCAGGAATCTGGAATTTGGAATTCCTTTCCAGGGTCCAGGAAAAATCTGAAAGGAGTAAAGACTATATAATGAAGAGTAGAGGTGAACAAAAATTAAGAAAAGAATAGAGAGGGGAGAAAGAAACTGCCTGAGGCTTTTACATAGAAGCAGAAGAAAAAAAGTGATGAGAGGCAAGCATTGTTTAACAACAATCTCTATACCAGTGATAAGTGAAATCAGAGATTATTTCTTATTAATATGGAATGTGTCATAAATGGAAGAATTAACATACAGGAGAATTTTCTTAATCTGTTCAATATCTTGACAATAAGGGAAATTAGTTTGGTGAACTAGTAGTCATTTTAAATCATAAAACAATTGCATAAAACATAAAACAAATAAAACAATTGCATTTTGAATAGTGCACATCTAATTCTGTATCACATAGTAAAATTACATGTGAAAAAGATTAATAAAATATTGAGCAGTAATTTTTAAAAACCCTCATTCATGAATGAGACTCTTCTTTTTGAAAAACTTGATTCACATATTTAAAATCTATTAAAAATTATGTAAGGAAGCATCCAAATATCCAGCTTCAGCATTCTGATTTCTAAATTCCTAGCTGCTTTAAGAGTAAAACTGACATTTATTATCTTAGTCCATATTATGTTATATTGTAGATACTTTTTACTTTATAAAGTATGTGTTCCTGAAAAATTCTCCATAAATCAAATTCCTTTATATTGAATTTTTCTACTCATTTCTGCCATTAAAATTTTTGGTGTGAACACATAATAAAAATTACATTTAAGATTTTTTAAATAGTCGCATAATAAAAAATTAAAATTAGTATTTTTCTGATAATAGTAACTCCTTAAATCACTCACAATGAACAACAAATCTAAAGAAAAACGATGACATTACAACAATGCAACACACTGAACTCAAGTTACCCAACTTCTATTAAGTACTCCATTCTTCTACAGTGGGATGGGAGTTGGTGCTCAAGTTCTATTTCCTGGCATGCTATGGAAGCTGCTAGCTTTTAAATATGAAGAGGATAATGTGGGCTGAAGAGGGGATTAGACAGAAACATAGAAAAGGCAACAAATTGAAATACAGCAATGAAAAAATTTGAAGGACATTTATTGGACCATATAATATTAATAGTGAAAGTGCAAATTTATTGAAACATAGCTGAAATGACCTGATAATAAAATTATTTTAAATAATTTTCTTGATTTATAATTTAATAATTTCACATTTCTTTTTAACAAGATATGCTTATAATTATCATTGGACGATTATTTATTTTTTAGGGTGGTATAGTGGAGAAGTTGGGAATTAAGATACTTCAGGTCTAGTCTCAGTTCAAATTAGATGGGTAACTTTGGGTAAAGAGAGTTTTGACCTCATCTGTATAATAAGGCGTTTGGCCTCAGATCAAGGGTTCTTAACCTTGTTTGGCAAAGCCTATGGACCCCTTCTCAGAATATTTTAAATGCACAAAATAAAGTACACAGAAATACAAAGGAAACCAATTATATTGAAATGGTTATCAAAATATTTTTAAAAAGAAGTTCATAGACTGCAGGCTAAGAATCCTCAGACTAGATGATCTCTAAATTCCCTTCTAATTCTGGCAGTCTGAGTTTTAAGCCATTTTCTTTATTTTCCATCTTCCCAACCAGCTTATCAGCTCCACAAAGGTGGTCACCATGTCTTATATTACTTTACCCCTTCATTGTATCTAGTACAAGGCTTTGTACACAGTAGTTATTCAATTAATATTGTTTGACAGAAAAAAAGAGTTTACCTTTGGGTGAATATAACAGATTGTTCCATGGGAACCTTGGTGATTCTTTCAAAAGGGAGTACTGATGACAGCTGGGCTTATGAAAATCCATCATAATGATTATATGTGATGACAAATGAAACTATGAATAAGCTACAGTCCCACCAAAAGAATCTGCAGAAATACCAAATTCTAAAAGTATTCTAGAAGTTATCTGTGCAAGCATATGCAACAGTAGTTATGACTATTCACTGAACTGCTAAAACATATTTTCTATAATTCTGGGAGTGCTGACGAATTTAATTCTATGAAGGATAGCTCGTTGTGGCTTTCTCCCTTCTGCAATTTTAAGGATATGTCATTATACTAGGAGATATGAATGGAATCAGGCTATTGAAAATACTAAGTATTTTGGTTTTTCCATTTTTTTTTAACAAAGCAGATTAACTGACAAAACACTGGCTCAGGTTGTATTTGTAAGGTATTTTCTACATCCATAAGTATTAAAAATGGGCTGAGAAACTTAATGGCTTCAGTATCAAGCAGATAAGCGTATTTGACTAATATCCATTTTTGATTAGGGATACACTATGACTGAGTTGTATTGGAAGCAATACCCTGACAAAGCTGTTATCAAGGTAGCATTTTAAATTCTCTTAAGAATGTAATTGGCTCCTTCTTAATTAAAAGTTCATTACATTATTAAAATAATTATTTACACTATTTAACACATTGTTTACAATAAGCACCTATCTCAGAGAATGGTTTAGGCATCACCACTAGGTTTCCCTGGAAGGAAATTAATACACTAAAAAGTTAAACACGGTTAACATCCTCTCATTCTGATGCTCAAAGGAGGATAAAATAAAGAACTGATTCCCCAGATAAATCGCCTACAATTCTGGCATCTGTAAATTTTGCCCCAGTTATTGCACAGCACAGCAGAAAGAGAGCTCACCTTGGACACAGGAAGACCTGGGTTTAAGTCCCACTTCTGACACACACTTGTTTTGTAACCCGTCACAAGACCTTCAACCTCTCAGTGCCCCTAGTCAACTCTCTAAGATTATAAAGTGCCAAACTCCATCAACACAGAGGATGTCCTTTTCTGGGAGTTCCCTGTACCAAAGAAATGGAAGGTCTAGTCCTAGCCTCTACTACAAGGAGCTAGTTTGACTTGGCCACTGTGTGAATTTTCTGATGCTGAATAAGGTTACAATGATAAATGAAGTTCTTGCCACACTCATCACATTCATAAGGTCTTTCTCCAGTGTGAATTCGCTGATGTTTGATAAGGACTGAGCGCCGACTAAAACTTTTACTACATTGATTACACTGATAGGGTTTTTCTCCAGTGTGGATTCTGAGATGATGAAAAAGCCCTGCATTCTGACTGAAAGCTTTGCCACATACATTACACTGATATCGTTTCTCTCCTGTGTGGAGTCTCTGATGTTGGAAAAGGCCAGACCTCTGACTGAAGGCTCTCCCACACTCATCACATTCATAGGGTTTCTCTCCAGTGTGGGTTCTCTGATGTTCAATGAGGATGGAATTCTGAGTAAAATTTTTCCCACATTCACCACATACATAAGGCCTTTCCACTGCAGGGTTCCCCCATTGTCTTTCTGATCTGCCTTCTTGTTCACACATTTCTCTACATTCAGGACCCCGGAGAATATCACAATTCAGTTTGTCAATTCTATCCATTTCTGTAGAAGTTTCCTGCTTTGGAGCTAACTCTCCATTCTCAATGCTGGTCTTGCCATCTAAAATAAAAAAATAGATTATACACATATCAGCTGTTCTCTGGGCCTGAAGAAAGGCCCCTGAGAGTGGGAGTTGGGGTAAAGAGGATATTTTAGCTGAAACCAATTCACTGAGAATATATGATTTGAATATGACTACAAAAGGTTCTTATATGGAGAAACAGAAAGGATGTTCAAGTAGGATCAGGTAGGATGGCAAAAACAGTAATGTGTACTATAAATAGGCCAGATAAAAAGGACAAAAATAATAAGAGCCTGACAGATGATCACAGTAGAATATGCTTAATTTTGAATAGTTTAATGAATTCACTAGAAGCTACTTCTATTCTCTTCCATCCACAAGACCAGGAAGAGAGGTAGACACATTCCTTGTTTCCTACTACTGTTTCATTTTAATTAAATTTTACTTTCAAACAAAGATCAGCCTTCTCTGCCTCCCACTTCCCTTGGCACCACCATTCCCCTCCTCCATCATTGAGAAAGCATGACAAAGAAATCCCATCACAAACACATGTAGTCAGGCAAAACAAAATTTCTCTCTAGCCCTGACTAAAAAAATTTTGTCTTAATCTGTGCTCGGAGTCCATCACTTCTATCAAAAGGTAGACAATGTTTCACCATGAGTCTTCAGGAACTGTGGTTGGTCATTGTGTCGATCAGGGTTCCTAAGTTTTGTGGGGTTTTTTTTAATATTTTGTTTTAATTAACCAAGATGATTTCTCACTGCTATTGCCGTAGCTCCTGCTACTAGAAGCTTCTGATCTTCCTCCTTCCTCATAGCCTAGGGCCTCTCTTTAGGGAGCTCCACTGCCGATGTGCAGGTCCCCTTCTCATTCAACCCTGGATTTTTAACCAGTACTGGATAATAGCCAGTAAAGCTGCCAAATAGTATCTCTCCCCACTGAAGTGCCCTAGAGGGTCTCAGGGTGACTCATAAGGTCCTGAGATTTCCTCTTGCCCTAGTGAACAAGCTTCTCCTTTGGTGCTAGAGCATACCACTCACGTAGCATGCTCTTTGTCCAACTGCGTCCCCACTGTCCGCTGACTTTCCTGTCTGTCCCTCTATACTGTTTGGCTAGACAAATGATTCACTGTTGTCTTTTTCTGAATTTCCCCAACAGAATTCAACCTGGTGCATTTTCTAGATCTTTTAGGAGTAATTTGTGGAGAGGAGCTTACTGAATTATTTCCTATCACTCTGCCATCTTGCCGCTTTCAAACCATTCCTCTACAATTCTTTAATGACTTTTCATCTTTTGAAATTAATATAATACACAAATTCTTCATATCCCTAGTGCTTAACATAGTACCTGACACAAAGTAAGCACTTAATAATTCTTGAATGACTGACCTAATAGCCTTGTATCTATTAATATAATTCATCTGCCATTATAGTTGAGCAAATTCTCACTAACCTGTTACTCTAACCCTGTATTACTTAGCAACTACCTAGAAGCCAAAAATATTGAGTATAAAGCCATAGAGGAAAAATGTACCTTTAATGAAATAGAGGACTTCCAAGCATTCCTGATGAAAAGACCAGAGCTGTGTAGAAATTTTAAAGTTCAAACACAGGAGTGAAAAGAAATATAAGAAGGTAAATATGAATGAACAATGATAAATGAATGAATGATAAACTGCTTACATTCAAATATGAGATGATACAAGTGTCTCCTCTGAATCCCATCATCATCAGGGATTATAGATGGAATCTAATTGAGGGAAGCCTAGAAATGGTTATTCTTGATGATCTTAAGAGAAGAATGAAAAGAGACAGGAAAAGGAATACATTGGAAGAGGGGAAAGGAAAGCAGGATTGGAGAAAATTATCTCACATAATTAGGGTACATACACAGACAGCTATACAAAGAAAGGGGAAAGGATGGGGTGGAATGGCTAACACTTGAACCTCATGCTCATGTTGGTCAAAGGAGGGAAGAATTCACACACACACAACACACACATTCACACATACATACAGCTGAGTATAAAAATACATTTCACTCATCAGAGAAATAGGAGGAAAAAGGAGAAGAGGTGAGGGGGAATTAAAGGGAAAGTAGATTAAGGGAAGAATTAGTCCTAAGCAAAACAAACTCTAAGGATGTAAAAAATATTTACTGTTCTTTCCAAGGTGGCAAAGAATGGGAATCTGAGGGGGTGCCCATAAATTGGGGAATGAAATATAAATATGATGGAATACTATTGCGCTGAACTCTCATCAGTGTAATGACCAACCACAATTCCAGAAGATTAATGATGAAACATTCTACCCACCTCCTGATAGAGAAATAAAGGAGTTAGAATGCAAAATGAGATAAATATTCTTTTTGGACATGACCAATGTAGAAAATTGTTTTGAGTATACATGTATTGTATACAATGTATTGACTATAAGATGTTTGTAATAGGTTTAGTTCTTAGTGTGTTCATAATTGGTAGAGGTGGAGGTGGACGGGTGGTAAAGGAAGGAAAAGTTGAAAGGGAGAGGAAGAAGGAAGATTTTGGCTGACTAAAACAAATAATTAAAAAAAAACCTATTATAGAGACAAACTAGAGAAGGCAATTATGCCACAGGATCATTCATTGTTAATGGAGCAACAATTCTTATCTATGAGCATCCACTAGGTCTGAAGAGCATTGTTTATTATACAGGCAGTCTTTATAATGGTATTTTACCTGTATCATATTTCAAGGTTAAAGACAACATCTGTCTAGCAAATCAAATTTTGTTTATTCTGTTCAATTTTCCTGCATATAAAATGTACACATATATATGTTATATAGAGAGAGCCTCTATAGAATCTTTTCTACAAAAATATCCAGAGAATGGCAAATTCTAGGGGGCAGTGGGCTTCCAAATGAAATTTTCCTTCTCACCAATTTCTTTAATAGGATGCATCTCCTGTGATTTACATTGGATCTGTGTTTCCAAGGGCTGGAACTGAATATTTTGTGATTCCTGTGTTGCTTCTATCTCCTCCAAGAACATCTCCTGTTTATGAGCATGAGTTGGAACCTAGGGGCAATTAAATACAGTCAGGTTTGTGAAGCAATTACCAAGAACCAGAGTTTAAATATTCGAAACTACGGGTAGCTAGGTGGCACAGTGGATAGAATGGCCTTGGAGTCAGGAGCACCTGAGTTCAAATCCGGCCTCAGACACCTGACACTTAGTAGTTGTGTGACCTTGTGCAAGTCACTGATTGCTTCACCAAAAAAATCAAAAAATAAATAAATAAAAATTTTAAAAAATAAATAAATATCAGGAACTAGACCACAAGGAACTTTCCCCTAGGGACACAGGGTGGGAAAGAAAGAATAAGTGTCTAATTTAATTCCTTGAAGCCTGGGAAAGCAAAAAATAGGAGAAAAAGTAAAATACAGAGAACAGATTGAACCATGCCTATTAATTATCACTGTTTTTCTTTTTTCCTGCTAGTTAGTTCAAACCCTTATTCTTCTAAAACAGCTCCCCCCTCCATTTCCCACCTGCTCTCCTGACTCATCAAACTCTCTCTCCAAATCCTCCAGCACTGTCACTGCTTCCTCTCCGCTCACGGGACGATGTTCCCACACCCAGGTCTGGAGCTCCTCAGGGAGGATGTTGAGAAACTGCTCGAGCACCAGCAAGTCCAGAATCTGCTCTTTTGTGTGCACTTCTGGTCTCAGCCACTGAAGGCAAAGTTCTCTAAGCCTTCGAAGAGCTTCACGAGGCCCAGGGGTCTCCTGGTAACAGAATCTCCTGAACTGCCTCCGGAAGATCTCTCTAGTGTAAAGGTCATTCCTCTGTGGTCCAGATTCCTGCCCCCATATATGATTCTCCTCCTCCACCTTCACTGTCAGAAATTTCTCCTGTTCCTCTGGAGCTGGAAGGGTCAAAGCTGCTGCCATTTTAAGGTTGTAGACTTTAGGAGGTTCGCTTCCTGGGAGGGGGTGGTAGTGTTTTTTTATTATTTTCCCTTGGTCATTTCTTTGGGGGCAGTCCAGGGATCTAAGGAATAAATTGTTAACATAGAGAGAGTATAAACATACTAACAGTCTAATAAAAAGCAGGCACTGGGATGATTAATTAAAAGTAATAAACCTCAATATCAGGGAAAAGCAATGAGTATAAGATTAATGGCTACTCATATGATGAAGGTAATACAAGATAAATGACAAGATAAGACAGAAAGGAAAGGTTAGCATATGTACAAAAATATTCATAACCACACTTTTTGAGTTAGGAAAGACATAGAAACAAAGTTGGGGAATTAGGGAAGGTTGGACAAATGTATGAATGTAGTAGATTATTATGGTAGCATAGGAAATAACAAATATGAAGGATTCTGAGAAACTAGATGAATGAGTGAAAATAAAAAAGCATTTATTAAGTACTTACAGTAAGTCAGGCACCGTCCTAAGAGCTGGAGATACAAATAAAAAAAAACAAAGACAAGCCTTGTCTGGAGCTTACATTCTAATAGGAGAAAGACACACATAGGGAGGTAGCCAGGAAGAGGAGTTTTGGTCTCAAAGTCAGGATGATGAGTCCAATCACAGGGGAGTAGACTGACATACCCTATTCCAAGGGAAACAGTAATAGAATCATAGTTCACAGTTCGAAGAAGGAGCAAAGTGAAGCACTTGTTGGGGCTTTCATAAAACTATTCTTGGAGTAATCACTAATTAGGACAGTGAGACCCCAGGGTAGAGGTTCCAACAAGGCATGGTGAGGTTAAGGTGGTCCAGGAGGTAATTCCTGAACTATCACTGCACTGACTGGTTGGGACCCCGGAGGACAGCTGATATTTTTCCCCTCAAGATTCTAGGGATAAAGCTAAAATGCTATGGTTTCTAGAACTGTCATGAGTACCTACTGGTGGACTCTTCATTGATTATTAGTCAAAATTAATTAACTTCTAAAAAGGCTATTTACTAAGCAGCTATAGCAAGGATAGTTGTTATAGTAACATCCCCCCAAACCAGGGGCACAATATCCCCAAGGGAAAGTAGACTCCTTCTTGGAGAAAACATGTAGCCACAGGACATACTCATAGCCCCAGGTTACTGAAAATCCTTTCTTCCTTCATGGAATTCTCATGACATTCATGGGGCAGTTAAACAAATTAATATAGAGGAAGAAGAGGGCCCAGGACAGAACTCTGTGAGACAATAAACATACTGCATTTGACAAAAGCATTCTTGATTATGTTCGATGTTACTGGGGAGGTAAATTCATTCAAGGATACAAAAGAGCCTAGAGAGGCCAATAAAAATTACTAATTATACTTTATTATTATTAATTATTATTATTGTTATTATTAAGAATATCTTAATGCTGCCTTCTCCATTATATTCATTATTGGGAGAGAAGAGACTATGACAAAGTAAGACAAACTTCAAGGCTATCTTGAAAAAAAGTATAACAAGAGTTTATATTTATATAGCGTTTATTGTTATAAAGTATTTTATATTCATTAAGCTCCTTGGAAATAGGGAGTTTCATTCTTTGTATTGTATCTCCAGTGCTGGCACATAATAAATGTCTGTGGATTTACCAACTGATGAAAGTGGAACACTTCTGTGTAATGGCAAGATCTAAGGTTCACTAACCCTGTGTATGTGGGGTGGAAATCTGAAGTGGAGTGAAAAAGTAGGTCATAAGAGTTGAGAAGATTAAGGAATCAGGAAGTTAAGGTATTTGAGAGAACATCAATATTTAATATTTACATTGAAATTCCCTAGAAAGAGTTGGCATGGAGAGAGAAACTACGAACCAGGGGTTAAACTTACTGTAAAAGGGGGGCGAATGTCCTGGGAACTGGTAGGTAACAATTGGGGACGTGAAGCCTACTTCCACCAGCAGGGTGATCTGAAAGGGATGAATTTCTCCTCCAAAGAATCCACAGTCTTGCCCCAATTTTTCTTCTTTGGGAGTACCCAACCTTCACCCTGAACACTGTAGGGCAGCATGCTCAGAGGTCCAGCACACAATCAACTTTTAATAGTGTGAGGGAATTTGAATAGTACAAACTATATGCATTTGAAGTAAGTTAGCTGTCTTCAGTTTCAAGGTACTCAATTAACAATGCAATGGAAAAAAGCATTTAACTTAAAGTTACTGGACCTGATTTCAAATCCCACTCCACACTTACCACATGTGTGACCCTGAAGAAGTCATTCAACTTCTCTAGTGGGCTTGTTTCCTTATTTTTAAAATAAGGATGTTGGTCCTATGATTTATAGTATTAAACTGACACTTTTGTATGATATATTTGCTTTTCTTTTGGTCAACAGTCTGCTCTTCCAAGGAATTAGTCCTGGAATCTATTCTTGGGAGTTGTCTACATACTTTTAATTCTATCTCCAAGCCTCCTTTAGCGTATTTAGTATCTAAAGAAGTGAAGTTCGCCTTCTTTGGCTTCCAGGAAAGATTCCCCTCACGGCTATCTGATCTGCCAACTCAATTGGTATCCTTTGGATTCTGTGCACAGGAAACATGCCTTTCACTTAAAGAGAATATGGGTTCACTTAATGAGAATTCAGATTCCTTGATATAAGGTTGAGAACTCCATTAGAATATCCCAAGTTGTCTTTTGATGTTTTTTTCTCTTTTTTAAATTTTAATAAAGTATCCCATGTTATTCTTGTAAAGAAGACGGAAAGATATGGACTAGATGATAATAAAATTCTATGAATTCAGAAACAGCTAGCTAGGTGGAATATTATTATTATGATTAGTAGCAGTGGTAGTAGTAGTGGCAGTAGTAGGAGTCATAGTAGTAACATCCAGCATTTATTTGTCATTGTCGTTCAGTTGTTCAGTCATATCCAACTCTTCATGACCCCAAGGACCGTAGCACACCAGGCCCTTCCATCCTCCACTATCTCCCAAAGTCTGTCCAGGTTCATGTTTGTTGTTTCCATGATACTATCTATCCATCTCATCCTCTCCATCCCCCTTCCCTTTTGCCTTCAATCTTTCATAACATCAGGGTCTTTTCCTATGAGTCCCATTTTCTCATTATGTGGCCAAACTATTTAAGCTTCAGCCTCATTATTTGACTTCCGGCGAATAGCCTGAATTAATTTCTTTAAGTATAGACTGATTTGACCTTCTTACTGTCCTCAAAAGTCTTGTCTGGCACCACAATTTGAAAATGCTGATTTTGTGGCACTTGACTTTCACAGTCATATGTTGCTACTGGAAAAACCGCAGCTTTGAATATATGGACCTTTGCTGGCAAGGTGATGTCTCTGCTTTTTAGTATGCCGTTCAGATTTGCCATAGCTTTCTTTCCAAGGAGCAAAGGTCTTTTCATTTCATGGCTGCAGCCACTGTCTACAGTAATCTTTGAGCCCAAGAATATGAAATCTGACAGTTTCCATTTCTTCTCTCTCTTTTTGTTAGGAAGTGATGGGACCAGTTTCCAAGATCTTAGGGGTTTTTTGGTTTGTCTTCTGGTTTTGTTTTTTTTTTAATATGGCACTTTAAAGTTTGCAAAGCACTTTCCACATTATCCCATTTAATCCTCACAACAACTAAGGCAGGTACTACTATTTACATGGGAATACCATTTTACAGATGAAGAATCTGAAGCTGAAAGAGGAGAAGTAGTTTGCCCTAATGGTTAAATGTCAACATGGCAAGATGTCTCCAGTAGAGTACCTCAGGGATACCTGTGGCCCCTGTGCTGTTTGTTTAACATTTTCACCAATGACTTGGATAAAAGCATAGATGACACATATGCTTCTCAAATCTGGAGAGGAGACAAATCTGGTGGGTTAGCACACTGGATGACAAGAGTCTGGATGTAAAAATATCCTGATAGACTGGAGCATTGGGCAAAATCTAATCTGCTGAATGGGTACAAAAATTCAACTTCTCAAGTACTAGTTGGAAAAGGCATAGTTAGACATCATTTTGTTTAGAAAAGATCTGAGGGTTTTAATGGACGAGCTCAATCTATCCTCAGGCCTCTCTCCATTCCAAAACTATCTTCCAGACAACTTCCAAAGGAATTTTCCTAAAATTCTAATAGTATTGCCCCTTATTTATGTAGAAAATCAAATTTAACTTCCTCTTTTTGACAATTAAATCTCTTCACAACCTGACCCATTCCTATTATTTTCACTCTTGTTACACAATGCTCCTGTCCTTATACTATATGATCCAACCTTACTGACTTATTCACTGGTCTGCACACATGACACTCCAATCTCCCACCTCCATGCCTTTGCACTGGCTGTTTCTAAGCATCATCTTCTACAATGAAGCCCTTCCTAACACCCCCCCCCCCGCAACAGTTACCAGTTCACTATCCTCCCAAAACTACTTTGCAATCATTTTATATTTCTTATATGTGTGTGAATTGATGTTGTCTTCCTCATTAGAATATAAGTTCTTTGAGGGCACTGATAGCTTCACTTTTGTCTTTTTATCCCCAGCACTTGGCACAGTGTCTGGCACACAGCGCTTGCGGATTGAGTCAGTGGTGGGAATCAAAAAAGCTACTAAGAGTTTGGGCTACATAAAGAAGCATAGCTTTCAGGAATAAGGAAGTAATACTTTCATTGTATTCTGCCCTTGTCAGACTTCACCTGGCATACTATGTTCAGTTCTGGACATCAGAGTTTAAGAAAGACATTGATATGCTGAAAATTATCCAGAGGAAGACAGCCAGGATAAGGAAGGGACTTGGATCCATGTCATATAAAGTTTGGTTGAAAGAACTAGGACTGAGGCAGCTGAATGGTGAAGTGGATAGAGCACCCACTTTGCAGTCAGGAGGACTCAAATCCAGCCTCAGAAATGTGGTATTTGCTAGCTGTGTGAAGTTGGGCATGTCATTTAACCCCAATTGCCTTGGGGGAAAAATAAAGGAAAAAAAATGGGATTACTTAGCTTATAGAAAACTCAGGAGAGACATAACAGCTGTATGTGAAGAGCTGTCATGTGAAGGAAGGATTAGACTTCTTCTGTTTGGCCCTAGTAGCCAGAACCAGGAGAAATCAGTAGAAGTTGCAGAAAGGCAAATGTAAGGCTTGATGTCAGGAAAAAAACTCTGTAACAATCTGAGCTGTCCAAAGGTAAAATGGGCTGCCTTTAAAGGTGGTGGATTTCCCCTACGATGTCTTCAAACAGAGGATGGATGTTATAGTACAGATTCCTTTCAGGTGTGAGTTGGACTAGAAGTCCACTGGATTCTCTTACAAGTACCAAATTCTGTAACTATGATTCTTGTTCTTGTCCATAAAGCTTTTCTAGCAGACCAGTCAACTAAGACTTTCCAAATCATTCTAATTTTTTTTTCTCTCCAAACTCACAGTATGTCCAAAAGCTACATGCAGTGCTATCCGAGTTATAACTATTTTTGGTCTATCACAGATGGTCTACCAGAGATCAACACATCCCTGGCCTCTGTGTACCACACACCCACCAGATACACAATTAACAAATTTCTTTACAAAAGAAAATACATTTTTAATACATGTACATTTTAGCTACAGTTAAATTTCCCTAGCTCTAGTCAAGCTGAAGCTTCTTATATCCACCATAACTCTTAACAGTTACTTTGAATAATGCAAAACAACAAACACCTAAAAATACTCTCATCCATTCAAATTCCAGCTCAAGAACTTTCAATAGCTTTTTAATGTTTAATGATTATGGAGTCAAAACAGTTAAAGTCCTTAACAATCTGGCCCCCATCTTTGTTTCCGGGATGCTGAGTGCTCCCATACATGAGCTCTCAGCCTAGCCATGGTGGTGTCCCGGCTGCTCCCTGAACATGCAAAAGAATATTGAAAGAAGACTTAAAAGACTGTGGCTCTAGTCCTGAACCCAGGCTAATCATTAGCTAGCTTGGGCAAGTTACTTAACCTTTCTTGGCCTCAGTTTCCTTCTCTGTAAAATAAGATGATGGGACTAGATGATATCTAAGGTCCTCTTCTATTTCCAAGTATCTCTCCACTTTTGTTTGTTCTGTTTGCCTCCTCTCTACTTAACCATATCTTGCTCATCTTCATGTGTGAGGCTGGGCTCAAGGTTCTTCTTTGTGAAGACTTCCCCAATTATTCTAGTCTACAATGATATTGCCCTAATTTGAACTCCCACAACTTACTGTTTTACATTCAGTCAGATACAGACCTGTATTTTTATTTGATTTTTCTGTTCTTATGACTTATGTGCCACCTACTTGGCAGGATTATAGTGGAGAAAGCACTTTCCAAACTTTAACATGTCACATAATTGTGGGTTACCATTACCATCTCCCCAACTAGACTATAAACTCCAGACAGTATGATCATCTACTATCTCCCATAGCACCTAATTCAGTAGTAGCTGATGGATGGATACATACACACACACACACACACACACACACAGTATCAAAAAAATTCAAATATTTGAGTAGGTTTGTAGATCCAAAACAGAGCCATACATGCACTCAGTTATGGATATTCTTTACTATTAAATCCTAACCTGATTGAAAAGAGAATAAGCATCCATGCATAGTAGCAAAGGAAAGTTGTTCATTAATAATGAGAACCAGGTTGTGATCAGAGGTAATCCAGTTAGTTATTATAAGATGGAAAAAACTAGGAATTAAATGCAAAAGATAGTAACTCATAGCACTACATGATTATAGTGACCAAGTTTAAACCCAGAAAAAAGTTGAAAACATTTACCTTCTTTCATTAGAGTCGGGGAGACTATAGATGTGGGATATTGCATATACTTGCTTGTTGAAGGTCTTTGTTAATGTACATTTGTGAGTATCTCCTGTTAAGCATCTATTTTGTGTGGAGGAAATGGTTATTCTATACCTGATTTACGTTTTACACTGAATACCTTTTGAAATGGAGTGGATGTATTTGTTTTGCTGAATGTTGTTACAAAGCAGAGGTTCACTAAGAGGAAGGAGTATATTTGAAACTGCATATGACATAAAAACAAAAACTATGATAAAAAAATTCAAAAACCAAAGAACCCCTGATGGAGTAGAACGAACACTGAACTGGGGATCAATGACCAGGATTATAATCTTACCTGTACTAAAAAAATACTGTTATCACTTTGGGCAAATAAATTTACTGAACTTCTTTGCCATGTTTTCTCATCTGTCAGCTGAAGCAGTTGGCCTAGACCCTAGACAATACCTAAATTCCAGCTCTTACACTCTATGAGTTTATGAATACTTACTTCATACTTTTGGAATACTTGATGTCACAGGTGTTTCTTTTCTCCACTGATGGAGATGGAAATCTCTCTCCATCTTAGGAAATGGTCATTTTGAGTTGTTATGGTTGAAAAAACTCATCATCAGGTGACTAATTTCTGGGTGGGAAACCTCTCCTCACTTAGCTAGGCTGATCCTTCACACAGACAAATATTGGAGTATTTCACTATTTTCTCACAACTGAAACCAAGGAGAAGAATCCTGAACAGCTCGTGTTCTGCTGGCATGCCCTACCCTTCCCCAGACCCAGACACCTCCGAGCTACAATGAGGCATCACAATAAAAACTTTAGCTGAGGTAGGACTTTATTTAATTACATTCAACTAGCTTGAAAAAAATTTCTGATTCAAATGAGCCCTGTTTACAATGTAAAGTAAGCCCACAGTAGACCGAAGCTCCGCAACGTCCGGAGGCGCCACGCCTGAGCCCGGGGTCCGCAACCCGGCCTCCCCGGCCAGAGGCGACACGAAGGACGGCAGGCGTGGGCGGATCGTCCGCCTCAGCCCCAGGGGGGGCCTACGATCGCTCACCCGCCCCGCCCCACCCAGGCATCCTCGAAGCCCCCGCCCCGCTCGGCCTCTTCTCCGAAACAGCAGCGCTTCCGGCTGCAGAGGGAGGGACGGAAGGAGGGGGGGTCCTACGCACCCCCGACCTGGGACGGTCCGGAGGGACCCCATCCCACTCACCGCGAGCTTCCGGGGTGTTTGGGGAAGATTCAGACCTGCAGAGAGAGGGACCCTTGGACACAGACCACGAGCCTCCGAAACCTTTGACAACCATGACCCCGGAAGTAAACTACGAAGACCAGCACCTTACTCTGAGTCTGTCTGCTCTAGGACCCCCGGAGGCCTCCTCATCTCGGTAGTCTTCCACTCGATCCTCCCAACCACTCACCAGACGCGAGTCGCATTGGGCACAGTTTGGTGTAGCTCGTGCAACAGAAGTGGACAAATCCACAACTCCTCTATGTATGACATTTCCCAGCAGACCGGATTCCGTCTTGGAGGCTTGTGATCCCAGCCAGGGTTTCACCTTGTAACAAAAATTCGGCCAGTTTTACTTCCACCCTGGGTTTACATGCATGGACACGCTGGAATCTGGCCATTTCTACGCCTCCATAAAACAGTCCTCAGTTCCCATTCAGAAGAAGCAGGGGTGATCAGGGAAGCCATGATATCCTGGACTGGGGCACCTCCACCATGGGGCTGGACATGTGCCATCGTCCTTTGCTGGAGGATAGGAACCTGACTTGGAAGACATGTGAAGCTCCTTTGATTGGTCCCCATTGACTAGAGCTGTTTCTTGATGATTGACTGACTGAGGCTCAGGATAATGAGATTTCCTTCTGTCTTGGACCGTTTTTTCCAATGGCTTCAACGGAATGAGGTGGGAGAGGGGAAAGATGCCCTCAAACTAACCCTTGTCCCCACCTCCACCTCAACCCTGCTTTCTGGAAGTCCTAGGAAGAGAAAGTGTTGAAGAAGAGTCATGAAGGAAAGAGATGGGCAGATGTTCCTTGACAAGAGTCCCTTCTGCTGGGCCTCAGGCAAAAGACAGGTCCAGTCATTAGGGACCAATCAGAGGAACCTGATGTGTTCTCCCTTAAAAAGGGACCATAGCACATGTCCAGCTCCATAGAAGATGCCTCAGTCTAGCAAATCAGGAGGTCTCCTTATTATGGTGTTACAAAAACACCCAGGTTAATAGTAATCAAATATAGGGATTTTTTTGTTAACCTTTAACCTGATAAAAAATGCAAAGAACTCATCCTAGAACTCGTAAACAATTCAGACACCTCTCTTCTACTTTCCAAAGGGTTTCTGCCTTCCCTAAGGACCCATATGGTGATCTAAATTTATGATGCTACTCTGGGTGAGAGTCACTAGAACAATGGTATTCAAAATTTTGGGATTATGTTGTTTTGAGTATGTACCCCCAAATACCTATAAATTCTATGCTATAAGTAGCACTTGCTACTTATTTTATATATTATAAAACATATATAAAAGTAGAAATTTTTAAGGATGTAATAAAGATGAAATAAAAATATTTAAAGCATACAAAAAAATCTTTTTTTTTACTATTCCTAGAAAAATTATGTAGCCTTGGGGTACTATATTGCTCATATTATCATAATTACTAATATTTTTATTATTATGTAACCTTTCCTGAGACTCAGGAAAATTAAGAAATTGGGGGATGGGCAGTCACATGACAAGTGATGAAGGACCAGGCATTTTCTTTGATCCCCAACATCTCTAAAACCTCTCCAAAACAGAAATTATGCATCAAAGATAAAGCAACTTCAACTGTCTTTGCGGTCCCACCCAGAGCCCAAAAGAAGGTTAAAAAAAAAACACCCTATGAACTGATACCTACCCTTAGCTCACACAGTACCTCCTCACCTATGTTACTATGTTACTGGCAGCAAGGCTGCACTAGTTGCAACAAAACCCAAACCTACACCCCTCCCTCTTACTAATGCCATGGAACCGACTCTAGGCTGTGAAAGTTTGCTTGGTGGCCAAGTGCCTCCCCACTGTGCTAACAAAAAATTTCTGCAGGAGACAGAGGGAAAGAGGCAGGAAATGTGTCTGACCTTGAAAGAGAGCTCAACCCCACATCCCAACCCCTCCCTTCTCTCAGAGGCTTGGAGACCCTAACTCCAAGTAACAAAAATTACCCCTGGGTGATTAGCACCAGGGAATTGTCAGGCAACATAATTGAAGAGCAGAAAGAACAGGACATGACACACAGTGTGTGCCAGCAGATGTCCATGGGCACCTAGGGGGTGGCAGTGTGCCACGCCACTGAGTCTGAGAGAAAGAGCCCTGTATCTGGTTGGGGCCAATTTTAGCCCCCCAAAGTCACTTGAGGCAGAGACTTAGGCCAGCGAACCATGAGAGAAGGTTGAGAAACTATGAAACCTAACCCTGAGAGAAACCACTATTATAGGGTAAGGAGTCAGAAAATGAGCAATGGGGGGGGAGTGAAGAGGAGGGGGGAGATTGAAATTATCAAATTTCTCGGGAAGAAGAAAACTCAAAGACCTTGAACATAAGCAGACAAATCAACATTAACAACAGAAGGAAGTATGGCTCCTGATCTAGTAAAAGAGTTCTGGCATCTCAAAACAAAGGCAAACAATTGAACACTTGATGAGACAGAGGACACTGTGAAATTTGAGAAGAACATGGAATCACAATACACTGTTCCAGAGTGGTTTAAAAGAAAAATGAGAATTATGAGAGCAGAATTTATGGTCTGCATAGTAAAAATAATGGGCAAAAAAGAAAAACTTGAATCTCCAATGGCAAGTCTCACCAAAGAAACAAAAGAGAACAATCAATTGGAAATGCAAATATACAGAAATAAAGGACAATCTAGAAAAAAAGAAGCAAAAAAAAACTTAAAAGAAAATATACTCACTAGCCAAATAACACATCCTGATCTCAAGACAGAATACATAGAAGCAACTTAAGGATTATAAATCTCCAAGAACACAAATCAAACACCTTGACATCATAATGCAAGAAATAATACAAAGAGGAATTAACCAGGATCACAAAGACTTTGTAGAACCTCTGTAGTGCATGGGGATGGCCAATGGAACATGCTCAAAGCTACCCTGGCAGCTTCCAGGGACAATGTAACTCAAAGTTGAAGGGATTGGAGTTTGGGGTTGACAGAGAGAATCTGCCTCTTTCCTCTCCTACTCCAGCCCCCACTCCCAGCTGGAGAAGGGCAGAGCACAGCATCAGTTTAAAAAGGAAATATAGTTTTGACCCTCTTTCTTGTCTTTCTTCTCTTCAGAATGTACGTCATGGAAGACTCCTTCTCCAGTAGGTACTTTTAGGAATAAAGGAAGGGGTGAGTACCTTCTCCCAATCTAGAAGCATTGTAGCTGCTACCTACCACAAGTTCTGCCCAGGTGAACCTGAGCCTGGGCCTTGATCCCCAGCTTCCTTTCATGTAACTGAACAGCAATCATGAGATGGACACGTCCATGAGGCAGCCTTATGAGTTTGAGAGGTCAGAGGATCTTAGATCCCTCAGCCAAAGCTGACATGCAGCAAGTGAAGTATTCTGCAACTACATCCTTCTCAGAGAATATGACTGAGAAATGAGTGGAAAGCCCTGGTCTGGTCTGTTAGAGAACATGGAACTAGAAGGAATTATTTGGACAATGCAGAGAGAAGTCCAAGTGAAAAGACAATTAAAAAGTCTCATAAAATGCTTTATGTTTTGATGTTTTAAGTCTCAGTCTTATGAGTATGACAGTAGTTATAAGCTATTGCTACTTGTCAAAGTCTTTGTTAATGTGCACTTGTGAGCCTCATGTCATTTTTGTGTGAAAATGGATGTCCTATACTTGATTTTCATTTTATATTGAATACTTTTTGAAATGGAATTTTAACTATAAACCAAAGTAACTACACATTTAAGAAATTCGGGACTGCAATAGCTTGTTGAGTAAGCACAATGTAAAACTGTGTATCTGAAGAAACAACCTGTACTATTTGTCCATTTCCAATAGATATTTCTTTGCTGCAATTAATTGTCTGTACCATATATCACATATATCCTCTTTGTACAGATGCCTTAGCTATACTTGATTGGTTCTACCACATATCTTTTATTTATATTTTTTAAAAACATTTATATCTTTTCAAACATTTTAAGCATTTTAAAATGTTTAATGTTAAATTTTAAACTTCTTAACATTTTAAAAACATATATATCTTTTTTAAACAGATGCTTCTTACCTGAGTTTGTTTTTCTATACTCCCATGTTTTCCTGTACCTTGTTAGTGTAAATTTAATAAATCAAAATAGAGTAAGCATTTTCTTTGATTTTGTTGCTTTTAGATTTGATTAAAATTAACTAGATCAAAATTAGACTAATTAATTTAAAATTATATTAAAATTTAATTGAGTTAGTACTCAAAGATATCATCTCTCTGTGCAGCTCCCTTGCTTGCAATTTTAAAAACTGGCATACTGTTTTCTTGGAATCTTTTTTTTCTTTATTTCCATCACACTTTCTACTCCCTCCTTTTGGGAAGACCTTAGACATGAGTCAAATCTAAACTTTAAGTAATTTTCCCCAGGGTTCCAGGTTGGAGGTATAAGGAGCATTACCATCTGTCTATGGAGTTTGGCTCCCCTGAGGAATGAATTGGTTCTGTCTGTTTGATGAGGCTAAGTATCTCCCATGACCCAATGGCAATGTAATTAGTTATGTTACTATCCTAGTAACAAGGACACTAGAAAATTTCCCTAGGATCACAAATACCTTCTTGAAATGATTAAGAATCTTCAGACTAGAGGGTTCATAGGCATTTGAGAGGACTTTGTTTATGTGGAGGTTCCAACAGCATTGAGAAAGGGATTTCCATACAAGTTTGGGGCACCTGAAGGGAGAATTGAGGGGAGAGGACAAAACGAAAAGGGAACATGGACTTTGTTTAAATATTTACCTGCATTTGATGTCATTTAATACTGCTAATAAGTTACAGTGGTTTACATCTAAACCTGTTTGTAGTTCAATATTGAAAGAGGAGAAGCTTGATCAGGGCAAAAGAGATTTCCTTGGTTTTCTCTGGGATGGTAGCCAAGCCTATTAGACAGAGTTCCTGCAATTCTGATAATTTCTGATAATATTCTAAACTAAAGCATACTCCCTAGAGCCCAATTTTCTTTTGGAAAATTAATAAGGATATAATCCAGTAACAGAAAATTCAATGTGGTTGTCAACCTGAAAGATACCCTGCATCACTTACTGACACTTTATACCACCTTTACAATTAGTAATATTAATAATAATAATTTAGTGAGAGCAATGTGATTGAATATGTTTCATTATTTTTTAAAATCTTGACTTAATATTTTGTAATACAGAAATCTGAAGATATGATTTTAAGTTCAGTTTATATCAATACTAAATTTTAACGACTGTCATAGTTGAAAAATATGCCTCACAAAGATACATAGATTCAAATGGAAGTGCTTACTAAATCATGA